TTAGTCTTAGGATGATTGTATCATTGCTAACTTAAATTTTTAGGATGTACTTCAATGTACCACAAAAACCACATCATGTGCACCCCAAAAACCACGTTGGTTATTTGAATATTTTAGAAAATATATAAAATAATTCAATAAAAAAATTTTAGGATGTACTCTAAGATAGTAGCTCTTTGTCATCATAAAAAAAAAAAAAAAAAAGTTAATGTATTGTGGAAATACTACCATTGAACTATGTTATGTTTTTTGTTGTTTTAGAATTTTGTTTAATATAATATTATAAAGTAAAATGAAACCATCATCTGCATTACATCTACGTATAAACAAATCAAGAAATCTCAGTACTAAAGCTGATGCCATAGTGGCCAGAAAACACACAAATGATAAAAATAAACAGTTAGAAGCTGCAATAAATTGGTGCAAAAAATTTAATGGAAGGGGACAAGCAGCATTAAAGACAGGTTTGTTTCCCCTTATTAAAGATAGAGAGACAATCAACAGACGATTAGATGGAAAAGTGATTAATGGAAAAGAAAGAGATTATTGTACTATACTTACAGATGATGAAGAAGCATCTATTGTGCGTTTTATAAAAAATAAGAACAGATGTTTACAGGCAATTAACAAACAGGACATAACCAAATTAATTATTAATGTGCTTCGTGTGAGAGATTACACTAATACAAAAATGAAAGGTGGACGGAAGTTTCAAAAGTTATCATTAAATGCTCGAGCTGCTCTAGAAAAGGGAAAGTAAGTTTAATTGAATTCATTTAATCTACAATGATCCTATAAAAGTATGTAAGACGGGTAATATGACTCTTTTCTTTATGTAAATATTCCATTTTATAGATTGAGTCGATCATTTTGGCTTCGTTTTAATGCTAAACATATCAGCCTTACAATCAAACGCCAAGGGAGTGTCTCGATAAACCGTGCACTTAATTGTTCAAGAGAAATGGCATGTAATCATTTAGGTAAGTTATTAATGAACAAATATAAATTCATAAATCTGAATGTTTTTTTTTTTTTAATTTGTTCATTTCCCTATAATAACATTATTTCAGATTCCCTTGCTAAAGAACTAGTAGATGTTGGTATTATGATAAATGAAAAAATGATTGAAACAGGGGTTTGGAATGGCACTGTTGATACATGCCGAATATTTAATTGTGATGAAACACCCCAGTTTATTAATTATGGAATTGATGGTACCACTTCTGGATTATTTTATGCTGGCAAAGGAGATGCATGTCAAAGAATGTATAGAGAAAACAGAGAATGTGTCACAATTCAACCATTTGTTTCATTTTCAGGTATGCTATAATATGTTATGGTTCAAGAAAAAATTGAATATAAATAAATACAAGCATTAAAAAACTTTTTTATTTTTTATTTTTAGGCGACATATGTATGTGTCAGGTAATATTTAAATGTACTGGTATTACTAGTTCTATGGTTCCAACAGAAGCAGTAAATAAAATTCCCCATTTGTTGGTCACAACTACAGATAATGGAGTATCAACCCATGAATCTTTCTTGGCAGCATTGAAAGAGTTTGATGTCTACTTAAATGAAAAAAATGTTAAGCGACTCATCGTCTTATTATCAGATGGACATAGCTCTAGACTAGACTTTGATGTATTATCTTTTTTGGAGTCCAAAAGAACTCATCTTTTTCTTACTCCACCAGACACAACAGGAGTTACTCAACTTCTTGACCAAGTAAACCAGAACATTCATAGTGAGTATCGTAAGCAAAAAGACTCAATGTTTTCTGATATCTGTTCCTTAAACAAAGAAGCTTTTATGTTAGTTTTAGCTAATATATGGGACAAGTGGACAACCAAAGAAACGCTTGTAAAATCTGCTAAAAGGGTTGGTGTTGCCGAAAATGCATTGAGTGTTGATTTTATGCAAAAAGACAAATTCGAACGAGCAGAAAACTGTATTGAACCAGAAAAACAGACTTCTCCACTAATTTCTTCGTCGGATAAAAGACGTGGTTCAGCAAATTATTGGAAATCAAAATTTGAACAAGCGATGGAGTTGATTGATGAACTTCATGAAAAGAGCATTCAGCTGGAAGAAATACCTGGTTTTATGACAACCAAAAAGATAAAGCCAAAATTAACAAAAGATGCAACACGTGTTACCCAAGTACATGGATCAATGACTGCAAGCGATGTAATAACTCTAGTTGAAAGCATAAAAAGAAAAAAAGAAAAAGAAAAGGAAAAAAAAGAAAATGCTGCAAAAAAGAAAGAGGAAGTTACAAGACTCTTTATAACATGTAAGCTTCAATGCTATTGCGAGGAGATAAAATGTAAAGCTTTTGGCTTAAAGCAGTGTCCAACCTGCCTCAATATAATGCGGTCCATTTGCAGCAAAGCAAACTGCAAAGTAAATGGAAAAAATCCAGAAATGATTTTATCTGCAGCTGCTAGAAAGAAATAACTGTGATATTCAAAATCTTTTTTATTGAATGAACTATTTGTTTTAAATTTGTTGTAAAGACTTGTTCTGGATAAACTTTTTTTTTTAACTTTTTCTTAGCGCACCCCAAAAACCACATGTTAAAATGTAATTTTTAAACTTTTTTTTACAAGTTTCCCTTCTACTTATAATAAAAATGGTTTGATTTATGTAAATAGCATATAAAAGATAAGCAAACTAGATGGGATTTGCAAACTTAGTCTAAAAAACCAATATTTTATAGCAATATTACTTAAAACTCAATTATTTTTCTCAGCACTTTTTAAGTTTAAAACGGTTGTAAAAAAAACTCCTTTATTGTTAATATTGATTTCTTTTGTTTTAATTGTTGCTGAAACATTCCTTTATGAGAAAAAATTTCTCATATGGTTTTAAAATGCATATTTAAATTTTTAGAGCCTTTTAACTGACCGCGTTGTTTTTGAGGTGCCTTGGTTTTTGGGGTGCATCTACCTGTATATTAGTGAATAAAATATATGAAGTTTATGTAAGCAAAACATAAAATTTCCAAAAGAACTATTAAACACTTACTTTATAAAAAAAAAAAAGTTATCAAAATATATTAGTGAATAAAATATATGAATTTACTAATCTTCTAACAATTTATTTTATGTATAAAAGGTTATTGATTGTACTTTTTATAAAAAGTACAATCAATAACCTTCTATAAATATACAAGCCCATATCGTAAAGATTTTGAGGTTAGGTTGGTCGTTTCGGAGAAAATTGTGGTCAAGAATAGAAAATCTTAATTAATTTTTATAACGTGAAACTAAGAGCATTTGGTCAAAAAAAAGATGTCAATCGCTCACGATTATCTCCTCTCTTTCCCCACCCCTACCAACAGTAATGATGTGATAAATTTAATAGAAACTAGCTTTTAATAGAAAATTTATATCAATAGCAACTCTTTAAACAAAATGCATATTTATTATAAAGCAAATTAAGGATGAAAAATCCTTTTTTATAGCTGTTTTGTGCTGGTCTGTATAATCTGGGTCTGTGTTTTATATAATCTATAAGGTGTTATATCTTGGAAATAAAATATTTTCAGCATATGGTTTTCACATACTTTTTGACAAGCTCTTTCCAATTATATAGTTTTTTGTTTAATTTCTATATATTTTTTTCCTGACTGTAACAAGTTATGATCCCGGCCAAAAATGTTTTAGCACTCGTTTTCTTCTTCTTAGTTTTAACCTAGTTAAACAATTTAAAAGCTAGCTAGACAAGTTAAAACCTAGTTAAAAAAAAGTTAAAAGCAAAAAGTTGCTTCTAACACGCTTGTGCACACGAAAGTGCTAATCGTAACATAGTAACTCTCACGATAAGTCTTTTGTTGATACTGTCACTTGCTTCAAGGAAACTTATTTAATTTTGCTAGACAAGCAGCTGTAGAATTTTATGCTGCATTTATTTATACAATAACTTTAACATGTAAATGACTATTGTTTCTAGGGTGATGGAATTTATTTAGTACTTATCCTTAACGTAATATGGGGTTTGCTCAACTGAAACCAATACAATACGCCAACTTACGGAAAATCTTGTAGGCCCAAATGGAATTTAAAGTCATTTATGTAAACTAAAAAATGACGTTATTGATTATTTTTTATTCCAGGTGGAGCAATAGGAAAAAAATTATACCGCTTTTATATAATAAATTTTTTTAAATAAATTTAAACAATTGTGTGACATTCTAGTTTTGAATTATCAAATAAAGTTAAACTCATTAGTTTGGTAAAAAAATTGATAAAGGTTAATAAATAAGAAGTGTTATACAAAAACTTGGAAAATTATCTTACACTACTTTGAAGTTTTGAAAGAGATATGATACTGTTGATAGGAATCTCTCAGTTGTCCAAACTCCGTCTCGAAGTTTTTTCTCAAAACAACGCTTTTTTTCAATTGCACCATAGTCGCGTTGGTCACTGGCTGATTGCAGGCAAGCTGTTGAAGCTCTTGAATTGTATGGACTATTACATGCTGGTTAAGCAATTTCATAAACTGCCAAAATCCTCTATGTCGATCACCCATGTTTGATTTCAAACGTCTATTGAGACTCTCTGCATTGTTATTGGTTTTGTGGTTCAAGCCATAAACACTGAATCCTTCTAGGTCACTATATTGAGCCAATAACTCTCAAAATACCTTTTAAAAGCAAATAGTTTGATTTTGATTTCGCGACTAAATTGTGCAATCTCAATAACTCGAGATCCCCAAGCAACCAAGATCTTGTTTACAGGAAGGAGATAAAGTGCTGAAACTTTTCTTGCCCACTTCTTTACTTGAATTTGGGGGCGGTATTCCCTCTGAAGACCAAGAATTGCTAATTGCTTGGTGATTGCATTTTCGAAATGAAACCTAAAGATAAGGGTTTAAAGGAGATCATTAATTGATAACAAACTCTGAAAAACTTGGATAACTTAGAAACTGGAAACTAAGTAATAACAAAGTAATAACTTATACCTGCAACCATTCACCAAGCTTTCACCCCAAGTTGTTTTTAAAGCATTCTGTAGTCCTCGTTCAAAATCTGACATAATGGTGACTGGAGAGAAATCTAAAATTTCTTTTATTTTGTAAAAAACAAGCTTGTATAAAGCCTCAGATTTCGATGTCATTAAAGCGCATACAGCTGGAACAGATATTCCCCAAAGGTGAGGGTTATCAGGATCAAAATTCATCTGATCCTCATCTGGAATTGGATCTTCAAGTACTGCTGAATACTCAACAGAAAATATCAAGAGCTGATATCACTTACTTTTCTCCATGCGTGGTGTCATGCTGGAAGTACAATAAATGTAACTATAATTTACAACTGTAAATAAAAGTGTTCTACCTAACGTTTTTAATATATCACTTTTTTCGTCTACGGGCTGTCCATTAATAACGTTAAAAAAATAAGGAAGGTGTCTAAATTTTTTTGAAAATTTTTGCTAAGGGTGAGGGGAGGAGGTCAAGTAAAGTTGACATCAACAATGTTGCTTTATTTTTTAAATTTCGTTACTCAAAAAAAGAAAAATTTGCCTGCGTTTTTAGCGCAGCGTCTTTATTTAGGGGAGAAGGGTTATCAAAAATTGACGTAACTTTATAAGGGAAAGAAGTGTTTCTGAAAATTTAACAAATCGTTGACATGGGGGAGGGGGTAATGTAAAAATAGCCAAAATTTTGTTGATGTAATTAATGGACAGCCCCCTAGATAAATATATGTTCTTCTAGAACATATATTTTTTTGAAAAAGTTAAATGCATACGTATAAATACCTAAATGTTCCATCAACAAAACACACTTTGGCCGATTTCGCCTTGTTGATGACTAGCATATGCCCAAACAGCAATGCTACGTTATCCTGTTCTGCAACTGATCCCAAGAAAATGTCTCCATAGCGATGGCACTCTTTGTCGTTTAGAACTTCAGCAGCTTCATTAGGTGATTTTGGGTTTGAAGGCTCATTTAGCCTTCTCCTTTTCTGAAGACTTGGGATAATTTGACGAAAACTAACTGATTCAGAAACAACTGCAGGAAACTCACTCAAAGTGTTTTGAAAAATTAAGCGCAGGTCTTCAGATGTTGCTCCTGCTTTTTTCTTCATGGTACTTTTAGCAAGCAGCACTTCAAAGTCTGTTTCTCTTGAACTGCAACTGTGAACAGTTGTAACCTGAAGTTTATCTTCATAAATAAAAGCTCTGCCTTTGCAGTTCATTCTTGTAAAAAAATGACACTTAAGATGCAGTTTGTCTTTATAAAGTTTGTCTTTGGTGTATAGAAAATCACCAGACCAAAATACATTTGAATTTTTTCTTTCTCCTTCATTTTCATTATAATTTTTTGATAAGTTCTCTAATGACATTTTAGAATATTGAGTTTCTTAAAAGTTTCTTAAATTTTAAGTTTTAATTCGAACAGAATTTTATTGCACGTGCAAATTAAACTGTTTATTGCGCGTGCAAATTAACTGTTCATTTAAACTGCTGTTCTCCATTGTAGGTAATGCAAACTTTGTTAAGCTGATGCGATATTAGGGTGAAAAGTTAGGAAATATTCATCGAACTCTTAAATAAGTTTCTTTTTAAAAAGTGACTTAGTATTAAAAATTTCTTAAGATTTTCTCCTAGTACTAGTTTTTTATAAAATAAAAATGTGATCATAAAATCATATTTTTGATGTTAATCATTAAAAAGAATTTTTGACAATTAAAAATTTTCGATCTTATTCCGTTTGTATTGTTTTCGACATTAACCAGAAAATCTTACTTTTAATGTTAACCATTAAAATGAGTTTTCGATCTTATTGTGTTTTTATTTTTTTCGACATTAATCGGAAAATCACGTTTTCGATCTTAATCATTAAAATGAGTTTTCTATCTTATTCTGATTTTATTGTTTTCGACATTAATAAGAAAATCTTATTTTCGATGTTAATCTTAAAAATGAGTTTTCGATCTTATTCCTTTTTTATTGTTTTCGATATTGTTCCACATTTGTGAATTTCGATATAAAAACTTTTCGACATTAATCAGAAAATCACATTTTCGATGTTAATCAGTTAAATGAGTTTTCGATCTTATTCCGTTTTTACTGTTTTTGATATTGTTCCAAATTTGTGAATTTCGATATAAAAACTTTTCGATATTAATCTGAAAATCACATTTTCGATCTTAATCATTAAAATGAGTTTCGGTCAGTTATTTTTCGATACTAATCATTTTTTCGATCAGTTAATTTTCGATACTATTCTGCTTTCCCTATTTCAACTATAGTAAACCTAGTTTTATTAAAACTATAGTATACCTAGTTTTATTTATTTCATTATAAAGTTTTATAGTTTGTAGTTTAGTATAAAAAAAGCATCATCAGCAACGATACTGTTATCCATATTAAGTCATATTTCCATACATAAGTCATAATAATCACAAACCCACACTTTTAAACTACTTCAACCCAGCAAGCACTGACGTCCGTAAGACGTTTTTCAACGTCTTATAGACGTCACAAAAGCGTGCAATGTCTTCAAGACGAATGTTATGAACCCTCTGGGATTGTTCATGATTTGCAAGTTTATTATTGTTCTCTTGTCAAAAAATTCATAATTTATTCAATTTGTCCAAATAATTAAAGTGCATTTAAAAAATATTGTTGAAAGCATGATTAACCCTTCTTACAACTAGGGCTGCTAGTTCGAACATGTTCGAGTCGAACGTTCGAACTTTACGCCAAAATTTTAACGTTTAGGTTCAAACTTTTTTTTTTTAATTGTTAGATCTTTTAAATTTTAAAAGAAGAAATGGCTTTTCATTATTTTTTGCTTTTTTTTTGTGTGTTTTTCTGGCAACTTTAAAAATATAAACAAAATTATATCACTTGTAGCGCCATTTTATTTAAGGTAGGATAAGTTTTTTCATATTAAAATGTAATTAAACAGTGGCCGTTACTTTTTCACAATTTAACCACAGTTTATCTGCATTTGAAATTAAAATAAAGGGTCTAAAATTCAAACAAAAAATGGCTGCTTAGAGTTAGCACATTTATAAAATTTGAGATTTTGGAGGAAGCATCAAATATACAAATAAAGGAGAAAAGAAAAAGATACAGACCAATCTTTGAAGGCTACTGTTTCTTCTCAAATATCTTATCAACCGGTTACCTAAAAACCAGCTTCCCAGCATTGGAAATATTCTTAGATACATACAGTTTATCAAATCTCCAAGGTCTTTGAAATTTAAATCTAATAAGTCATTGAAGCTTGCTCTCAAACGTTTCCAGGCAAAGATCTTATCTGCAAGGGTGGGTTATGTAGAAATTCCAACACATCCATTACAAGAGAAGTGTTACTTCTCTTGTAATGGATGTGTGGAATAAAACTGGTTTCGGAGAGTTTATCCCTTCTGGAGTTGCTGTCAGGTAAGAAATAATGTAATTTTTAATATAATATAGATAAAATATAAGTAAATTAACAAACATTAACATTAATAATATGATTAATAAAAAGTAATCCCTTGGTAATTATGAAACTTTATATAATGATTTTTTATATCATTAAGGGATAAGATTTGAAACTCCATACTAAGTATTGCAAGCTAATCCATTTGAGAGAATTAAACTAGGATTCCAGAACTGATAGATTTACTAAGATCCAGAGAGATTTCATTCAGAGACTACCAAACTTTTTGATATATCTGTAACGAGGTTTGGGGAAAAAATCCAATCAGATCGCCTTCGTACCCAGGATGCCAAGGTGGAAGACATTCAGTTTTTTTTAGACCAGAAAGAGGATCGAAAAATGTATATAACTACAGAAATAGACAAAGAATTTGAAGCATCTATTAAAAATAGACAGGATTGTTGGCAGAGAATGATGAATATGAAGATTACAACAGCGGAAAAAGAAAAGGGTTCCTAATGAGGTTTCATATGATTCTGATATCAACTCATCTGCATCCGAGTCAGATGCTGCAGTTTTTCACAGATGAGTTATTTCAAAACTTTGGTTCTAAAATAAAAGTCAAGGTAAATAAAAAATTGTTATAAAATCTAAAGTTATTTGTATAAAATTTGAGTAAACTAAACTTAACTGCATTCAATTAGATTTGAAATATCCCTTCTATTTAATATTTAGATAATGATAAACATTAGACCTGAGGATCTAGTGGATTGTACTTGATATCTGCTCGGTATAGGGTTAAAATCCGACCTCAAACCGCGATCATTGCAGCAATATGCAATAAAGCAGGTATGAATCTTGAGAATGTGCCCGTCTCCAAAATAAAATTGAGAATGTGCCCGTCTCCAAAAGCTCTGTTTATAGAAAGAGATTTAAGATGATTAGTCTAAGTAAAAATAACTAATTGAAATAAATAATAGGATTAATAAAAAATTAATCAAATTTGTAATAAAACTATTTTGAATATTAGGAGATGAGATATCGAAAGATATAATGGAAACATTGAAGGGAAAAAGACTTTTCCTGCACTTTGACAGCAAAAAAATAAAAGAGATGGAGGATAATCTAAATATTCTGTTATTGTTTAAAGGATTTCTGTTAGTGTTACACCCAGAAATACACGGGAAATACGAAAATACACCTCTTTAAGCAGAGTAAAAGGCTATTAATGAGGGGGCTAAGTAAATATTGCAGAAGATATCAAATATGGAGAAACAACGTCAGCCGTACGGCTGTCGGAAAGCAAGTCATAAATATTATTTTAATCATTCAAAACCTTCAGGAGCAATTAAAGGTGCTGGTACATTTGGCATTTACTTGATCCGTAAATAAGTATGGAGAAATTTATAACTATGATTTCAGTAATGATGGTTCTTCACCAATTTTTATGTTGTTAATAGTATGCTATATTGTAATTATGCTAATTTATGCGTAAAAACTTGAATGTGTTGAACATATACGCGTTTTGCGAACTGTTTAAGAGAGCTAAGAAAACAAAATATTTAGGCCGGGTGAATAAAAATAAGCAATTGCTTTAACTCAGTAATTGGTCAGCTTTACGTGAATAAAAACTTTACCAGTTTTCCTCAAATTTTTATTCACTTAAAGGTAAGCAATTTATTCAGTAATTGTTCAGCTTTACGCGAGTAAAAACTTATGTAAAATTACTCAAGCTTTTTTTCACGTAAAGCTGACCAATTACTGAGTAAAAGCAATTGCTTGTTTTTATTCACCCGGCCTTTTGTGAAAAATTAACGTCGTAAATCTCGACAATAGTGCATCCAATACTGAATTCATATAATTTTAATTCCAGTAATACCGGTATTGAATTTTTTTCCTGTTAAACATTTGTTCTACGTTAAAACGAGTGACGTGATGCTACATTTAAAATTTTTTATTTTATTTTAATTCACCTCCTCAAGGCCGAGAAGGCCACTACAGACGAGGAGGCTACTTATTTGTGGCTATAACCCTCTCTTAACTCTATAACTCTGAAACACGAACCTTGACGAACAAGGCCGCTGCGCGGAGAAACGAGTTAAGCGCGTGTGCTGTTTGCGGAGAAACGCTGTTGCGTGTGCTGTTGTGGAGAAACGAGTTGAGCGCGTTTGCAGTGCTGGGCATTTAAAAAAATTCACGCAAGGAAACTCGTATTTGTTGTTTTTAATATATCATAATAATAAACTGGCAATCTCCAGTTTACTCTTATTTAATTTTAATCTATGTAAATATTTTGTTTACAAGAAATGGTATTTATTAGAATAAATTAAGTTTGAAGCGGAATCACGCTCGGAACAGAAAAACGCAAATTTTAGCTACGAGACAAATAAATTTTAATTTCTCGTAAATTTAAAGTTTCAGCAGTATACATTTTTAAAAATAATATATTAAATATTTGTAAAAATTTCCAGAAAATTACAGGATTGCACTACAATCAAATTATTAGAGTTACAGTAAACGTTTAAATCCAGTTCAAGCATGGTCACGCACGGAAGTTCAAAATTTGTCGATTTCATGTAGTTATTTTTATGAAAATAAATTGCTTTTAAGTGAAATATTAAAACTCTGGGATTCATATTTAATGTATTTTTAATGAGAAATAGCAGTCATTAAATATTTCTGGCTAGAGTAAAGCGTTTAGAAAAATATTGTATATTTTCCAACCTATCGCGTCATTAACACACACTCAAAATAAAATTATATATATATATATATATATATATATATATATATATATATATATATATATATATATATATATATATATATATACTTAAATATTCAGGTAACATAAATTATAAAAAAAATATTTTAGTTAGAGTTGTTCTTTTGAAAATCATGTATGCATATTGCTTTAAGTCTTAGCTTTTAATTGTGAAAACAAAAAAAGAAATCACACGCGAAAGTCGAAATACCCTGCTTTGTTAAATAGAAGGAAAAAAGAGTTTAACTTTAAAATTAAACAAGTTTTATCTTTAACTAAAAACTTTTATCAATAAATTTTTATAAAAAATCAATTAAATAATTTATCATTTCCTCCTTCCTGAACTCTTGAGCAAGCATAATTTTGTTCATTACAAACTAAACGCGCGTTGTTTATTGCGTCTAGAAGTTTTAAATATTTAATTTTGTGTTTTATGTAAAGAAAGCAATCGCGTACAAGCCCTGTACATATATATTTTTTATACCGGTATTGAGCCTACACAATACCGATATTTCAGTACTTAAAAAAGCCCGGTATTGGATTCACTCGACAATAGTTCTATAAAAACTGTTTAAAACTATTTTAGTAGGGTAATAAGGGAGATAGAAAACAATAAAATTTAAGCGAAGATTAAAAAATATACTAAATGAAAAAATAGACGCGTTTCTTAATAATTGTACTAAATTTCCAGACTAATACCGACGCCATGCAATATGTCTTAGAGTATTAAAAAGTTAGACGATTTTGGATGATTTTTTTAAATTTCAATATTTTGTATCCACTTAAAGTTATTACTTTTAAGTAAACCAATAAATAATAGCTTATAGTAATATTTTTGTGAAAATGTCATAACTGTGCTCCACAAAAAAAAATTAGTTAGTTTTTAAAATAACCATGTTTAAAATTAAATTTTATTGTTTCTTGTTGCTAAAATATTAAAATAATTTATTATTTAGTAACATTTGCTATACAAATTTTTTGTTAAATATTTAAAAATGTAATTTAATGGATAAAGAGAATTAAAGCGTTGTTTGCCGAGCCTCGTTGTTTATAAAACCATAATATTTTTAAGAAAAACAGAGCTCATTGGTGTATTTTTTTAAAAATAGGCAGAGAAAAAAATAATAGAAAAAAACATAAAGTAAAGCCTAATTTATTTTAAAACAAATTAAAAGTGATTAATGCTTTCGAAATCTTAAAAAAAATAACTTCTGAATAATAAATTTTTGTATCAAGTTGTATCAAGATTTTGATGCATGTCAACTCATTAATTATTGCGTTAAAATTTTTAACAAAAAAATGTTCAGTCAAATAAATTAACCATGATTTCGTTTTCTTATTTTAAAATTTTAATATTCAAACTATACATAAAAGAAATACAACTAATAACAACGAGTCTTAGCACTAAAAAAATATACAATAAATTAATGTTTGTAACGTGTGTAAAATACTTTCATTTTAAGAACAAAAAGAAAAATACATTGTTATGTATTCTATATTGTCTGATATTTTCTGAAAATATTGTGACCGACTGTTGAAAGAAGCATATTGTGTAAAAGGTCATTTAATATGATATATCGATATCTATAAATATCAATGTACAAAACACTAAATAGTACTTATAAACACATACATACATACATATATATATATATATATATATATATATATATATATATATATATATATATATATATATATTTTATATATATATATATATATATATATATATATATATATATATATATATATATATATATATATATATATATATATATATATATATATATATATATATATATATATATATATATACATATATATATATATATATATATATATATATATATATATATATATATATATATATATATATATATATATATATATATATATACACATATATATATATAGAAAGAGAGATAAACCTCCTCAGCTATATGTTTTCATTTAAGTATAAGCCTTTGCATTTAAATGTATAAATCATATACTTTATAACAGGCCTTTTTATTTTGCGGACGATGTCAAAAACTGTATGCGAACAATTTGTATTTCCATATTTTCTAAAAAAACGTCTTACTGAATTCTAAAAAAAGTTCTTACTGAATTATTAAGTTAAAACTTTTGTAATAATAAAGGCCCTAAATATTGCATCACAAATCCAGGACCAGGAAGTAACTTAGTCAAAGTGGAGGGGCACAATCGCCAATTTTTGAAAAAAGTTCTTTATATCTAGAATTTTCTTAAAAAAAAAAAAAAAAAAAAGGTCCTTTAGAAAAAAATGTATGGGGGAAAGAGGGGGAGGCGCATGTCCCCCCCCCCCGGCATCGTCGGCTCTGAAATTACAACATAAATTATGACGAAAGTTGCAAACAAAAAACTTTTCAAACACTAGAAGAAAAGTGGTTGGCATTCATACCAAGTGACAATATACCGTTATTTATTAAAAATATAGGCCTGTTTAATACATTTTAACAAAAGATTATGGCCATTACCATTTGTATGTAAAAACAAACTTAATATCTAAACCACCTGGTCAAATTCACAAGGATATAAATCTACAAAAGATTTTTTCTAACTTATCAAAAAATAGACAAAAAATGCATTTATCTATTAGACAAAGTTTATGTTATTTCTTGTTGATTTAATTTTAAACAAACAAACTTTCTCCCATAAAAGCAGCAGGTAGTCATGTTGTATAGTTTGTGATGATAACTGTTACCATCTTAAATCAGGTCTTTTTCAGGTAATTCAAGACTTTTTCAGATTTGAGATAAAGATGACGTATCTTGGAGAACAAAAGATAATATCTTTTATATGATTTTCTACCTTTTTTAAAAAAAAGGCAACAACTGGATAAATGAAAAAACTCAGGAACTTGAATTTTTTATTTTTAAAATGGTCTCATATTGTGGCAATGCATTAACTAAAATCAATCCAAGTAATTTAAATGTATAAACTTAATGTTGTAGTGTTCCTCAAACAAACAAAAAAAATATTTTGTTTAGTAACAGTCTGTGCTTTAAAAGGTTATCAAGAGTTAAAATACGTTGACACTATTTACTTTCTTTCTATAATAATTGAGTTTTGGGGAATTAATAACATTCATTGCTCTTAAGCATATATATGTATGTGTGATTATAATCGAGCTACAGTTTTCTCTTCTGGTAAACTTCAAAAACTGTTAGAATATAGAAACATAGCTAAACATATGTAATCTTCTCAAATAGTTATTTTTGAAAGTTTTACAAACGATAACAATCTCTATCTTACTAGTGGTAACCATGGTACCATTACTAGTGGTTACTAGTAATGATATTTTGGAGTTGTCAAACTCTTGCTTACATATCATAAAGATGTTTTACTTTTTCACGACTGATCTTTTAGAGAGAAGCAGTTTTAAAACCCCAGAAAAGATCAGGTGGTTTTTATTACTGTACAGCAATAATAGACAAAATTGTTATTCTAAAGACAAATCTACTTTTGAAATTAGACAATAACGAAGTATAGACTTTATTACTTTAGACATTCTTGTGAAAGCTGTAGTTTTTACTGAATGAAGAAAATCTTTTAATATTCGATAACTTACCAGAATTTGAAAGTATATTATCTATAGATATCGAAACTATTAACTGTCCGAAATGATAAGATTCAGATGACATGTACTTTTACTATGAGATATTTTACTGAGTAAATCAATGAGGGAGGATAAACTGTGCCTGGTGATTTTGTATGTCAATGGGTAATATATTGTTATATTATGTTTCGTGCTGATACTACTCGAATTTCTTTTTCCTGCATTCTGGTAATGCTTTTGTGCAATCTGATGTCAGAATCAAACTAAAAATGAACAGAAACCATGGTGTTAACATATTTTTTTAAAACTATTGTAATTTGTATTCTCCAAGTTTTTTATTCTACAATTTTGTATTCTACAAATGAACCAAAGCCAAAAATTTTAAAACTAAGTGTTAAATAACATAGCCCAACCGAAAATGTTTATTTAAAAAAATTGAAATATAAATAATAATATGACATATGGTTAATATAAAAAAAGAAAAAAATAGTACCATTTATTAAAATATTTTGTATACATTTAATAATAATGTATTTTAATAATGAGTAATTTATAGTAATAATAATTAGTAAAAAACTTTCTCAGATGAAGAGAAAGCTTTTTACTAATTATTATTACTATAAATTACTCATTACACTATATGAAGAGAAGTTACGAAGACCAGCAAACCAAACTTTGTTGAAAGCATTTGATATGTCAAGAGGGATAGACTTTGTCTCATTGCTTCCATATGATGCATCTTAGAGCAGCTAAAGATTAAAATATTTTCAGAGAGTCAGTTGAGATATTAGAAGTTTATTAATTAAAGATTCAAAGTCCTTGCTAATAATACTAAGAAAACTGATTGGGCAATAGTTAGAAGGGTCTGAACAATTTCTAGGGTTTTAAAAATTTGGAACCATAAAAGCTATTTTTCAGCATGCAGTACAACAAGATTCAGTTAAGTTTGTTCAGTTAAACACTTGTTTAAAGTTTAGAGAGTACAAAACAGTGTTCTGGAGAATACTTTTGTAGAACTGTGACACATAGCAGGATCATCTAGAACACTTTTTTAAAACTGTGACACAGGTACTGATCATCTAGAACACTTGTAGAACTGTGATACAGGGGCAGATCAACTAGAACACTTTTGTAGAACTGACAGAAATATGTTTACAACCAGACGCTGTAAAGTAGTTAATGCAAGTAACTTAGTCAATGGAAGTAAAAGTGATTTGAATGACAGTGGACTAATCTATTTATCTAAGATGAATTAGAAAAAAAATCTTTGCAAATAGTTTTACTATATTTTTAGGAGGAGTAATAAGATTAGAACCATGTATGAAAAATGGAATGTTGTCGTTGTCAATGACAAAATTGTTTTTTGCCGAAGTCCCTAGAACTTAACTTCTGAGATGAAATATAAGATTTAGTAATCTGAAAATAATGGACCTTAGTATTAGACAATTAAATAATAATAATAATAATAATAATAATAATAATACCAATAATAATTATAATAATATACTATCTAACATGCAAATTTTTTTACATTACTTTTATTCTTCAGAAATTAAGTTAATTCAAGAGAGAGTTGTTTTAATAAAAAATATGGAATGTTTACAATCAGCTACTCAAGGAGGAAAAATTCGGGTAGAGCAAGGCTTAATTTGAAAAGAGAAGAAATTTTTTTTAGAACCCTTTTTTTTTAAAGCAGACACTACATTTAAGTATCACAAATTTCACTAACTTGTCAACAAGGTTTTTTTTTTTATATACTATTTACTTTCCTAAATTTCATTGAGTAAAGAGCATATAAAAAAGTAAAGAAATTTTTTCCAAAGAACTTATGCAAAAATTATATCATTTATTAAGTAAATTCGAGCACCCAAACTAGGAGATACATCATTGTGTATATACATTTAAATACAAAAGTTCACTCAAAGAAAACCAACAACAAAAACAAAAATCATTCAACTAAGTTTGTAAGATTCCAAAAATATTTAACCTTTCATAAAGATTATTGCTGTCAGCTGTAATAAATTTTATCTTCTTTTCCTGAATATCCACCACGACTTCCACGATGACTATCAGATGCTCCACGACCTCTCCAGCCTATGCAGACAAATACACAAATTCATAAATGTATTATAACGTAATAAATAAATTTATTAGAAATATATACATAATATATATATACATGAAATATATACATGATATATATATATATATATATATATATATATATATATTTATATATATATATATATATATATATACATGATTTATCATGTATATACATACATACATATATATATATATATATAATATATATATATATATATATATATATATATATATATATGTATATATATATGTATGTATATACATGATAAATCATGTATATATATATATATATATATATATATATATATCTGTATAAATTATATATATATATATATCTGTATAAATCATATATATATATATATATATATCTGTATAAATCATATATATATATATATATATATATATATATATATATATATATATATATATATATATATATATATATTATATATATATATATATTAAATATATATACATTTATATATATATATATATATACATGATAATATATATATATATATATACATACATATATATATATATATATATATATATATATATATATATATATATATATATATATATATATATATATATATATATATATATACATGGGCGCCCGCAAGGGGGGAGGGGCAAGAGGGAGCACTTGCCCCCCCCCCCTGTATTTTCTAAATATAGAAAAAAACTTTCTTGTTTGTAACGTTCTTCATGCCATAAAGTTTGTTACTAAATTTTTCTGTAAAAAATATCTTTTAGTGATACTTCGTAACAGTTTCGGAAAAATCCTAATTAAGTTTTTGCTGAAATAATTAATTGCTTATTTGTATGAAAAACACGATATTTTTCAATCTTAGCATGTTTCGTAGTTTACACACTACATTTTCAAAACGGTGCTGACAAGTTTAAATTGTCTTCTTTTTTCCACGGACATAATTTTTTTCTTCTCTTTATTTTATATCTTACATATCTTGATTTTTAACTTTATAATGGCTTCTTTTATGTAAGTATGAAAAAAAGTTCAGAAATATATTTTGACCTATTATCAAACTCAAATTTTTTATCAAATTTTTTAGTTGATTTAAACTTCAAATACGAAGAAGGGTTCAAAAACACCAGAAATGTTTGATTGAAGGCAAGTTAAACTAGTCTGTATTAGCTATGCATTAGGTAAATTGTAATGAGGAAATTGAATGAGAAAAAGCAAAATCACACACAAAAAAAAAAGAAAAGGGAAGGCTAAAAAATTTAATTGAAAAGTACGTTAAACCTTGGCGATACAAAAATATCATTGTTCTCTAATGTAGGGTAGTTTTAATCTAGACAATGGACATTAACTTAAATTTTGTTGTTGTTATTTAACTGTCACAATTTTGTAATTATAATTGATGACCACACAGGTGAAACCACAGATGTCCACTTTTTGAAAATTTCAAGTTTTACATATTTTTATGATATTTTAGTACTAAGCTATTTTAATTTAAAAATTCATAACAAAAAACTATGTTTTAAGGTTCTATGGTCATTTAAAAAAAAGGGCAACTTTTTTGTTGTCCAATGTTTACCGCGTAAAAAACACAATTGTCCAAGTTATTTATAACAAAACCAATGATAATAAAAGTCACATGACTAACTTTTCGGATAAAGTAAACAACATTACATTCACAGAAAAACATTTTAAAAAACTATATAAGTTTATATATATATATATATATATATATATATATATATATATATATATATATATATATATAAAGTAAGTTTATACTTACTTTACATATATATATATATATATATGAAATAAGTTTTTTTTTATAATGACAAAAATTTTCTCTTGAATTATTTCAATTTTTATTTTAATTCATAAGGTGTACCTTTTGTATCCTAAAAAAGTGGAAAATATTCTGATCTTCAATAATATTCCGATTCTGATCTTTTTAATTGTGAAGTAATTTGCTTAGATTTCAAAAAAAAAAAAAAAAAACATTTGAAACCAATATGTATGCTATTCCAGGCAATACCTGTTTTATTTTTTTAACACTAATATACTTTCAATTCAAAAATTATTTTTTTATTGCTCTGATGAAACTGTTGGAAACAGATGATGTCATGATTTCATCAGATGATGTCAGATTTCATCAGATGATGTCAGATTTCATCAGATGATGTCAGATTTCATCAGATGATGTCAGATTTCATCAGATGTTCATCAGATATTGGAAACAGATGATGTCAGATTTCATCAGATGTTCATCAGATGTTGGAAACAGATGATGTCAGATTTCATCAGATGTTCATCAGATGTTGGAAACAGATGATGTCAGATTTCATCAGATGTTCATCAGATGTTGGAAACAGATGATGTCAGATTTCATCAGATGTTCATCAGATGTTGGAAACAGATGATGTCAGATTTCATCAGATGTTCATCAGATGTTGGAAACAGATGATGTCAGATTTCATCAGATGTTCATCAGATGTTGGAAACAGATGATGTCAGATTTCATCAGATGTTCATCAGATGTTGGAAACAGATGATGTCAGATTTCATCAGATGTTCATCAGATGTTGGAAACAGATGATGTCAGATTTCATCAGATGTTCATCAGATGTTGGAAACAGATGATGTCAGATTTCATCAGATGTTCATCAGATGTTGGAAACAGATGATGTCAGATTTCATCAGATGATGTCAGATGTTGGAAACAGATGATGTCAGATTTCATCAGATGTTCATCAGATGTTGGAAACAGATGATGTCAGATTTCATCAGATGTTCATCAGATGTTGGAAACAGATGATGTCAGATTTCATCAGATGTTCATCAGATGTTGGAAACAGATGGTCTGATGTTGTATGTTCTATACATGATTTTTAATTATCAATTATCTCAAGTGTAAAGGATATCAAATTGATTTGCAATTAATGTGCTAGGCAAAATACAAAATGAAAAGATTTAATTTGATTTTATTATCTAGTTTATAAAACTGAAAAACTTGACAGCATTACTGTTTTATTACCAAATAGAATTGTCACATTATGTATAGGCATTACAACTCTAAAAAATGTGACAGAAACATTGGCCATTGCAAATCAAAAGTTTTTTGCAGAAACACTAGACGTTCTCACAAAAAACCATAACAACTTAATATTGTATATAAACATGATACAAGAAAAAATTCTGAAATTTGCAGAGTTTCTAAACCAAATTTCTTGGTTGTTTGTTCATTTAAGACATGTTCACTTAGATAAATTGAAATATTAAAGGTTATAAAATATTAAAAGTTAAAGTTTAACTATATGGAAAAATGGAAATATTTAATTGTTTGTGTGCTATATCCCATATGTTTAGATCAATCATCAAAGTGCCTGATAAACTGAAACAAGCATACATATCTCTGTTGCTTTTTTTTTTGTTAAAAATTTAAAGACTTACTAAAGCTAAACTTTTTTTGAATGGACAAAATAATACATTATTTGATCTTATTTTATCTTTTTTTTTTTTTTAATTTATTTTACTATTCGATGAAATTAAAAACAAAACATTTTTATTAACGTTGTGTTCACAATTGGTTTTTGTATGGTTTATACAAACTTGATATAAAGTGATTGAACACAGACATCATGGAATCATCTGTGGTAAAAAATGAGGTTGGGGAAGAAATAAGATTGCAATGCTATTTTGTATTAAGTTAAAAAAAACTTTCATATAATATTTTGTTTGAATTTTTTTGATTAAAGGAGGGGAGGGAGGGGAGGATGGCTTTACTATCCCATCACACACTTAGTACATTGTAGTTGTATATTACTATGTGTTACCATCTACCTTTAAAAAAATAAGTGCTCTAAATGGTTACAAGCTAACGTAATTTATGAGTTGATGAGTTTACAATGGAAAAACCACAGATTTCCAAAATGAGTGTCTTGTTTTCAAAGGGACACTGTGAATAAATAATACTTGTAATTAGTACAAAAACCGTGTTATATTGTGTAAGGACTAAAATGTCAGAAAAATACACTTTTAACCCTTTACAGGTCAGGGTTGCCGTATGGCAACAAATAGTTTAATGTTACTTAAAACGTATAATTTTTTATATGGCCCGGATTTTCTTGGTTTAATACGATATTTAGACTATGCTAATGCAAATAGTAAACAAAGATTGCAGTTTAGCGGCATTTTTGTATGAGAATCATTGCCTTGATTGTTACTACATTTTTTGGAATAAAATATGTATCAGTTTCAGGCCATCAAGATGTGTCAAAACACTTTGTTAATTATTATATTTGTAGTGAATGTTAATTACCAGAAGTTGTTCTGTATTTTTACATCATTTGTTTTGTATAAGCTTTGACTGCATGATTTATTACTTCATAACAAATATTTTGTTGCCATACGGCAACTGTGTCCTTTAATGGACATATTTTGAATAAAGTCTTATTTTAAATATCTCGCTACTTTATATCTCCCAAGTAGATATTAAAATTTTTATTTCTTATGTTTCCAAAGTTTTCTTTTATAAGTGAAGTTTTATATATATATATATATATATATATATATATATATATATATATATATATATATATATATATATATATATATATATATATATATATATATATATATATATATATATATATATATATATATATATATGTATATATATATATGTATATATATATATATGTATATATATATATGTATATATATATATGTATATATATATATATGTATATATATATATATATATATATATATATATATATATATATATATATATATATATATATATATATATATATATATATATATATATATATATATATATATATGTTTATATATACATATATGTAGTGCGAGTAGATAATTTAATATTTTTAGAGTATAAATAATTTAAAAAGAAAAAGAAATTAACCACTAAAATTGTTATGATGGAAAGACAACGCTATCAAAAAACACGATACACAATCCGGGTTGTTGTAAACTTTGTTCTTGAGCCTTGTTCTGATTCAAAATTATCAGAACTTTCTGAATCCTCGGATGATGAAAACGAAGTTGGCCAACCTAAAATTGATTGTGATGAAGAAGAAGAGATAACTGATAACGAAGAAATCTGTGGAGGTGAAGATCAAAATATATCAAATTTTGAGTCAGTAAGAAAAAGAAAAAAACCACACGAGTTTCGGTGGCGATCTACTGAACCGCAATTAATCGATTCGGAATTTATGGGAGAAAATTTCACATTAGCCCCGGATAATTTTAATGAACTTACACCTTTTGATTATTATTCCCAGTTCTGGACAAAAGAAATAACAGAACTGATTGTAGAACAAACAAATCTTTATAGTACCCAACTTTCCGGTAAGTCAATAATCACAAATGTTAATGAAATGGATCAGTTTATGGGAATGCAAATGTTAATGTACCTTCAATTCAAGTACCTTGCCCGCAAGTTGTAAAAGAATACAATACTGGAATGGGTGGTGTAGACTTGTCTGACATGCTTATTAGCTTATATCGAATACCCATGAAAACAAAAAGATGGTACTTACGTGTGCTTGTTCATTGCATGGATATATGCAAGATAAATGCTTGGCTGCTGTATAGAAGACATGGTAACCAGTTGAATATTTCTCAGCGTAGCCAACTTAACTTCCTTCAATTTAGCAGTCAAATTGCTAACGCTTTAATAATGAAAAGTAAACAAGTTGACAGACCTATTGGCCGACTGATAAAAAAATTATCAACTAATTCTGATTTAACCGAAACACGAGGTCGCAAAGTTCAGGTACCAACACCCCAAAATGATATACGATATGATGAGTTTGGACACTGGCCAAATCCTCAAATTAACAAAAACAAATGTCGATTGTGCAAGAAAACCGTTTGTATGTCTTGCCTAAAATGCAAAGTTTTTTTATGTTTAAGCAATGAAAGAAATTGTTTTTATCAGTTTCATAGAAAGTAGGAACTTTTGAAGAAAACTAATTATGACTTATTTTTTCAAGAAGACTGATTATTATTGTTTACTAACTAAAAGTAATAATTTGATTTTATACCCTAACCGGTCAAAGTTGCCATATGGCAACAAAAAATATCTCAAAAACTGCTTATGTCAGCAAAAAAAAAATTATTGATTATTACTCCATACACCAAATAGATCCTTTAAAATAAAAATAAAATTTTTTCTACCATTTTTTCTAATGCTGACCTGTAAAGGGTTAATTAAATAAATTATTAATAAACAAATATCTAATGTCACTAAACACTAAATTTTATTTTTCTCAAAATGAGAAAAATGTGATATCTGTGGTTTTACCTGTGTGGTCTACAATTCTATACTGATAATGCCGGTGCCTATAATCTGGCAGAAAATTCATATTAATTATTTAGTATTGAGAGAACTCATATTATCTGATGTTTTAAAGTAGTTTATATATATATATATATATATATATATATATATATATATATATATATATATATATATATATATATATATATATATATATATATATATATATATATATATATATAAAACACAATATAAAACTATTAAAAGCAGATTTAAATGATCATACTTCCTCCACGACCTCGAAAAGATCCTCTAACTGGTTCTTGATGTCCTCCTAAAATGCATAATAATTTTTACATATGGATTAAAATGGAATAAAAACTACATTTGAGTTAAAAACCAAATTGAAAAAAAAATAATAATAATAAATAAATAAAGCACCTCTATGATCTGCTGCAGAATCTGGTGTCCTTGGTTTAAACATAGGCATATCTGGTGGAGGAGGAATGCTAGATGCTCTACCGCCTCTGTCAGGTACCTAAATAAAATTTGTACATTGATTTATTAAAAACACACACATTTTTGTAATTTCAATTGTTATAACTGATCTTTGACACAGGCCTATTTAAGGCCTGTGTCAAAGATCAGTTATAAGTAAATGAAAAATATTTAATAATTAATTGGATATTGGTAAAATAATTAATTGGATATTGGTAATTGGTTCTTTTTTGTTGTATGTATGTATGTATGTATGTATGCATGTATGTATGAATGTATGTATGTATGCATGTATGTATACATACATACATACATGTATGTAAACATACATACATACATGAATATATATATATATATATATATATATATATATATATATATATATATATATATATATATATATATATATATATATATATATATACACACACACACACATACACACATATAATCAACACACACATATAGTGTGTGAATGTGTACTATTATAAAAGTACAGTATAAATATGGTACCTTTTTTACTTTTTTTTTTTTTCAATATATTATTTATATTATATAAATTTTTTATACTTCATATATATACTTATTTTATATATTTTATCTTTATATATTACTTTATTTTGACGTTCAAAACTATTTTTTCTTTTTTATAAAACTATCAAATAATCTTCATTGCAAATCATCAAAATACATACAGCACCAATCATATGTTTGTTAATGGCACACTTCAGACTATCTCTTGCTTTGCCACTACTTGTTCTTTCAATTGTGCACAAATCTAAATTTCATAAGTTAAATTAAAAAAGTTCATTATTTAAGTATCAAATTTAGCATTCATATAAACATACAGGATGTCTTTACTATATACATATACCAATATACATGTATACATACATCCATACATATACTATATATGTGTATACATGTATATGTAGACATATTACATAAGACATATATATGACTTTAGACTTTATTAAAGACATTTATAGAATTTAGTTTCAGGCCTTGTTCTGCTACATTTAATACAAGACTATAGTTTAATGCCACTTTTTGTAACATTTCACAATTTTGTTCTTTTAATGCAGATTAATATCTAGCATCTTGATAACCTCAAACAACATTTAGCGTTCAAAATAGTAAAATTAAAAGCTTAAACTTCTTCATTGTCTATGCTTGTATGACCAATTCTAAAACCTGTCAATGCACGCTAGAAAATAAAAGAACAGATTTCTTGACTTACACCATTTTTGTACCATTTTTTGTTGCAGATAAATTATTCAGAATAAAGAACTTTATCACAGCACAATATTTAGTTTTTTCAAATGCAACCAAATACACTTACATGTCAACTTCAAATGGAGTGTAAAGAAAGAATAAATGAATGGAGGATAAAATATTAAATTAGCATATAAATTTTTCTACTAGTTTAATAAATTTTGCTTCCAAACATTAAAGTTAAGAAACTTTTTAATCAATCTGTAGAAATTACCAAACTAAAATAAAAAAAACTAAATTAAACTCTTTACCTGTTTGTTATTTTAAACAATCTAACAATTCTATATATTTTAACACCACACTTAACTTTTTTTATTATTTGTTAGGCAAATGAAGAAATCTGAAAAATTTGACCCAGATACCAAATAGATGGGTGGATGCTGTACCTTGCTTTTTTTTCTGCTTTTTTTAAAAATGAGTGTAAGTTTATAAAGGTAATTAAGAGTGATCTTTGCAGTGACATATCCAGGCCAATTTTGATCCAGGTATATCAGTTTGTGAACTTAAATTTCAGTAATAATATATAAACAAAGAACATATGCAAAATTTATATACTTAACAGAACTTTTGCGAAGTTCTTTGTATTTTAGAAAGTAAATGGAGTAAATAAAATATAGGTTCTCATAATGTCTGCGAAAAATTGGTATAACAGTATGATTTTCCACGGATGTATGAGGAACCTTTTTTTTTCAAAATGGTGTCTCCAAACAACTTTTGGATACATCACTGTTTTGATTAGACAAAATTGAAAAAATTACAAAAATTAAATAAATTATGACTAATGCCTCCATTTTGTCACAACTTATAGTAACAGAAAAATACAACAACAAAAATTCAACATTAATAGTAGATGGTACTACCAATAAAAACAATTATTAATGGCACTACCTTTAAAGCATGCAATAAGTTAAGAGATAAGATTAGTCTTAGAGATGAATTAGGTTAAGGGTGTTTGGAAATAAAAGTGTATTATTGAGTGTCAGCATATAGACAATAAAAAATTTAAAATAAAATGACAGAAAGATAAATTTAAAATAAAATGTTGTTTTAGACAACCTAAGATAACCTTAGTTAAAAAAGATGCAAAATTGCAAGTATTAAAGATGTCGCATTAGAAGAACTCTAAAAAAGCTCTTCAAAAGCTGAAACACAAATAATAAAACAATGATTTAATAATTGAAAAAATCTTAAAAAAAAAAACCAACCAGTTCGTGCAGCAAGTACATCTGCAATAGAAGTAAGAGAGTGTGGTTGCAAAGCTGATCTTATAGAATTAAATGATTCCGAAACTTCATCAACTTTTTTCTGAAAATAAATAAGTTATAAAAAGAAAGCAATTTTATTTGCTATTTATGATAATTATTTGATAATGAGAGAACCTTCATTTTTTCAGTCCAAGTAAATGATTGAATAGTAACATCTACTCGTTTGATGAGTAATTCTCGTCTCAGTCTGTACTCTTGGCATAGACCATCATTAATTTTAGAAACTAGATCCTAAAAATACACAAAATAAATAATAATAATAAAAATTTGAAAAAGAGCTTTACCCTTTTAAAAATTTTATTTTTATATTTTCTATTTAAAATCAGAACAAAATTTTAATTTTATAAATATAAAAAATAACATTTAAAAATAACTCTCTTACCCATTGATTTTGAGAAAGGGATTTTTTAAGTAAAGGAGGAGGTATATAATCATTTGGTAATGTAGATAACAGCTTTTTTAACTTGAAAAGAAAATTGCAATCTATTTTAGCAATGTTTTCTAAAATCACACTTAAACAAAAGTTTAAAAAAAAAAGAAAAGAAATTGATTACGTACAAAAACTATTTAAAAACTATATAAACTTGATATTAGAATTATATTTAAAAAAATCAAATTTTTCATAACAAATGCAAACCAACAGTCAAAGTTTGAATTTTATTCAAAAAAATATGAATGTTTACATATCAATATTATATTAAAAATACACACACTGGTCTCAATTGCAACAAATGGTTGAGTTGTGTTCATTGAAATTTTGAGAACATTGAATATTGTTTGTACACATATTGTAAGAATACTGCTGTTCTCCTAAACAAGATTAAATAAGAATCATATATATAAGACTCTAAAATATATCACACATATACAATAGCTTTATTTATCTCCCATAGGTTAAGGGAGCCAGTAAAGTCAAAAATTTAAAAAAAAAAAATTTAAATAAGAAAATTTCTCTTTTAACCCTTAAACTGCAAAATGCAAATCAAAGTCAAACAAAGTTACTGCACAGAGAAACAAGTTAAGTACAATGAGGGACAAGTACTTGTACTTTTTTCCCAAATTTATTCATCTCCCTAAGGACACCATAACACTTGAGGAGACTGCTCTTTTTTAAAAAAAATTGTAGTAACCACTATAACTCAAAATAAGAACCAGCTGCCATGGAGAAACAAGTTGAACGCAGCTGCTGTGGAAAAACAAGTTGAGCATGACAATATTAGGTGTATGGTGGAGATCAAATGGTACTGTGAGAATGTACCCTATTGTGTGTATATATACACATACATACATATATATATATATATATATATATATATATATATATATATATATATATATATATATATATATATATATATATATATATATATATAAATATATATATATATATATATATAAACACACACACACTAGGGATGTACCGAAGCTGAAATTTTGCCGAAGCCGAAGCTTCGGCCGAAGCCACTTTGCCGAAGCCGAAGCTTCGGCACTATATATGCTTAAAATTAAATCAGCATTCAGCAGGGGTGTAAAACAAAAAAGGTACCAAAACTAAGGTCCTTGACTAATAATATAGAAAAATTGTATAAAAATGAGGACGCCAGTCAGGGTTGCTGTTCCAGGCAGGGCAAAAGCTCTCAGCACCCCTGTTTAAAAGTTTCTCATTATGTCGTTTCTGATACTTGACCGCATCGAGCGTTTTTTTTTTAAACTTAAGCTTTTTTGAAACATTCTCCCCAAATTTTCCTACTTCTAGTTCTACTTTTTCTGTGTGCAAACCATATTAATGTTATATAGCATTTTTTCATGTGCTGTATATTTTATTTTTATTTTTAATGCACCTTTTGTTAATAGAAGTGGAGAAAAATCTCTGAACATTACTAGAGTAAATTTATCTTTTGCACTTGATCACTCTTTCTTTAAATATACACTCTTAGCTGATCTAGTTCAGGGTTCATGGCAGTTTTGAAAAACCATTTTCCCTGAGTTTTCCCTGATTTTCCCTGATTTTCAAGTATTTTTTCCCTGAGTTCGTGCGGTGAAAAGTCTAAATATTTTGCCTATCAATGTTGAAAAATATAATACTTTTGCAACTGAATCCTTGTTCCCTAAATACTTTTTATCACTATTTTCTAAGAAATCAGAGACTGTTTTTAATTAATTTATAGCAATCCGTTAAAGGTGTTTTAAACAAGAAACAGAGCCATATTAATCTGCTAACTAAAAGAAATATATTAAAAAAATAACAATTTATACATGTTTTGAAAAAACTAATGTGTTTTGTTAACAAAATATAAACTTCATGTGAGAACGAATATATTATTTTAGCAACTTTCTTTTTTGCTCTAAGATGTGCTAGCTCTAATTTCTTTATTCTAGCTTAAGTGCTAGCTCTAATTTCTTTACTTCTTCATTTTTTTCATTTGCTTTTTGTTTCATCGCATTAGCTTTAGAAATTAACCCTAGATCTTGCTTCTCCTCTGCTTCCTCAACAAATTTTACAAATCAAACTGCAACATTTCACTGGTTTTCTTTAGTTGATCTCGCCTCGTTTCAACATCTTTTATTTCATTGCTAACAACTTTTTTTGCCAATTGACTTGCTTCTTTTTTGTTAGTGTCTGCGATTGAATTTAGGTAGCTTCTATATCTTTCATGTGCCGATTTTATGCTGATGATCATTTTGCTTGTAATTTCAATACTATGTGGCTGAAGATTATTTGATAGCATATGATCTTTGACTAAACGTCTTGCAGTTATTGATTTTTCAATTAAATTCTGTTCTAGCACAGTGGCATTTATACTAAAACCTCTCTCAACTGAGGCTTGTCCATGGCTTAGTGTTAATAATATTATAACAGTCAATGCAAACTCTTTATATTTATCTAGGTTAAATTTTTTTAAATAGAAGTCGTCTAAGCTATCTCTTTCTTGATTGAGTTCATGAAAGATGTCTTGATAAACCCTTGATTCTCAAAAGAAATCTGCAAATTGATTTATAGCTTTATCAGAAAAGATTGGTGAAACATATTTCAAGCTAATCAAGTGGGTCAATAAAGATTTATACTTCTTCTCTGCATCTTTTTGAGTCATTACTACCATTGCATTTGGGTTAAGAACCTGAGAGTTGCGTACAATGATAGATCCTAGTGGAGTTCCGTCCATGAACTTTTCAATCAATCAAACATACATGTTAGAGCAATCTTTGTGAAAACTTTGAATATCAGCAATGGTTATTATATCTTTCTTTTGTAAAACAGCCAGTCTTGTTTCAGCTGCGAACCCTAGTTTGATTTGATTTCCTTTAAGTAGATTAGCTTTTTTATGAAAATCAACTTCTTTTAGTTGGACTGAAATACAACTATTATCAATAACATCTTGTTTCACAAACAAGCTCAGTATGGTTCGTAACAGTCTTTCTAAGTCACAATACATGAATGGAATCATTGGTTTGTCAGTTTGGTATGCCAACAAATATGGCTCTAATATGCTTGCAACAAAGCTGAAAACTTCAAATTTTAAAATAATAAGTTTGTTTTTAACAGCCTTTTTTACATTTAAAAAGCTTTTTGATTTAGGTTGTTTCGAAGATGGTAACTTTTCCCCAAGCTCAATCAACTTACATATATTAGGCCAGATTTCAATGCAACAATCTGCAACAGATTTACTTTCAACCCATCTTGTTCCACAAAAAAAGAGAGGGTATTTTGTTGCACCTGTGACTGTTTCATAATCTTGATGCCTAGCTAGGCTATCATGAACAATTTGCCAACACCCTTTTAAAGTTTCTTTAATATTCCATGTTGTTGATTCGATAGCTGTTTTGAAAGCACCATGGATTACATGCAAAAAGCAACTTCCAATATTTATAAGTTGTGGCATCTCGTTGTCCTTTCTGTGTTTATTAAGATCATCTAGAAATTTCAGATTTGTAGAGGGCCCATCCATGGAAACTTGATACATTTTACTTGAATCAAATCTTGATAAGTTTTCGTTGAAATGTGTAAGAAGGTCAGAAGCTGCAGAATGACCAAGAAATGCTGATGTCCAATATCTCACTTTAACTTTATTATTGCCATCCCAATACCAAACTAGTAGATCCATCTGACAAGTTTGGGTTATGTCGTTTAAACTCTCATCAAAAGATACAATGTAACAATCAGACTTTGTGATTTCTTCTTTTAAAAGTGTCTTTAAGTATGGGGCTAGTCCATGGTTAACAATGTATGATACTTTTGAGGTGCTCATAGTGAAATCTTCTGCTACCTTGCTATCAGAAAACATCTTTTTAAAAGTTTGCACATGAGTTATTAGAGTAGCAGCTCATTGTAGATTTCAGGGCCCATATGATCTCAGCATTAGTTGATAACGATGATTTAATTAAAGAGACAATAGTTGCTTGTTTTTTGGTGAAAAATGTGGATATTTTTTCATCACTTCCAAGTGGTTCAGCATGCAACACTTTTCCGTTAATAAAGAAACAACTAGCAGGCTTTGTAGCAGATTGATGCTTCTTACCTAAAACAAGATAAATAAATAATGAAACATTTAAAATGTCTAAAAATTTTTATCTTTTTTCTTAATCTGTTTAGCTTGCAAAGTTTGAAAAAACAATATAAGCAACCAACCAACAAGGAAAACAACTGAAACAGGTTGCAATCAAAAGTTGATTACAATGTGTTTGAAACTGATATTAAAATATAAAATAATGAATCAATCAAGCAACATTTCTTTTTAATTCTCACTCTCACATTAAAAAAGTTAATATAAATACCTGCTGCATGACTTTTAACAGCCTGAATACCCATATTGGACAATTCAAATGATTTTTTACATTTTTTGTAATGAGATTTAGTTTTTGCATGTGCGTTGGGAACTAACCAATCTTTATAAATATCTTGTTGTAACCAATCCTCTTGAAAATAAGTCTTTTCTGAAGTCATGTCTTATATTATTATATTTATTTATACATTTAGCTAAACATATAGTTACTATATAATATAAAAGTTAAAAAACCACTTTAGTGAGCAATTTTCAACAACAATAAACACTCAAAATGTGTATTTTGCAAAATAACTTCAAGCTAAATAAAAAACTGAAAAATATTCCCTGAGTTTTCCCTGATTTTACAGATTTTTAACAAATATTCCCTGACTTTTCCAGGTATTCCCTGATTTTCTAAATTTTTAAAACTTTTCCCTGGTTTTCCAGGTTTTCCCTGAGTGCCATGAACCCTGTAGTTGTATCTACAACATAAAAAATTTTAGAAACACACTTTATCTTTTTATTGCTATTTATTTCAATATCTTTTTTTTACTTCTCTGTATTCTTTAAACGAACTATTTCTAAACTAAAAAAAACCCAAGTTAAGACCATTTTGGATTCCACTACAACTGTTGTGAACCTGCTGCTAAAAAAAAGTACAAATGATAGATTTCTCTCTAACTTCTTTTTTACACACTTTTAAGTATTTTTTTTTTATTATTTTTAACTTAACACTACATAACATTTTCTATAGCTTTTTTTAATCTTTTATACTTTGAAATCTTAGTATTCATTCTTCTTCTGCCTCTATAATGGATAAATCTGCATCAGTATCTGAAATCAAATATTAACTATCTGTGATAAAAACTTCCAAAGTAATCTAACAACTCTGTAGAGCGAGCTTTAAATAAAATAATAAATAGAATACTTTATAGATTTTTTATTTATAATTATATTATTATTTACTTTTACCTATAAATAAACAGGGACTGAGCAGGCTGATATTTATTTGATTTAAATTGTTTATTTAATTTAAATAAATTTTGA